TTTTTTACATAGTGAAGGCATGTCTACATCCTCGTTGCTGAGGAAGCCACAAAGGCTTTGGGTTTTTTCTACTCCTATCCTCTTCTCAAGCGAACCACAAACATCGAGCTTGCGGGTTTTCACTACCTTCGCAAGGGCAATTCGAACTTTCTAGTGCTCAACCACAACCAATTGGGAACTCCAGGGTATCCTCTAGCCATTATGAGGCCGAGCTCCAAGAGAAAAAGAACACAAACCAACAGCTAAGAGGCAAGAACATCTGAAACCTTTCTCACAAGCTCTCTAACTCACTTCTAGATCCAATTTCTCTAGGGATTTCACTAAGAATGAATGGGAGAGGTTGGGGATCCTTCATTGGGGGTGAGAGAGAGCTATCCAAGGGCAGATGAGTGAGTAATGTTGCCGATGACCATTGGGGAAGAAGGGGGAGAGAGTACATTTGTACTCCTTCCCTATTTATTAGACGATCAACCGTTAAGTACGGAAGTTCCGCACTTTCCAGAAAGAATAGGAGTTAAGCTTTTCTGGCTTTGGCTTTTACTTGGGACTTAGCTGTTTGTTTGGATAGGTAGTTAGCACTTAATTTACTTTAAGCTTGCCAATTTGTATCCCCCTTGATAATACGGTTTTTTCTGTATTCAAATTCAAAATAGAAATGAAAATAACATTCGTTTTGTTTACGATCACTCATAATCTGTTCACTCTCGTAAGCATAGAGAGCGAGAGGTAGAAGACCAGCATTGTTTGAACACCAGTAGCACAGTAGTGTATGACTTGCCGGTAATCTCACAGGTACACATGCATGTCCCAGCCGAGAGAGCGAGGCCATGCAGACAACAGCAACCGGTATTTATTCCATCACACCACACACACACAGCTCGATCGCGGCACCGTACGTGATGACTGACGAGACGATGACACACATGACTCCAAACATCAAAACCAGCTGCTGGCCGGGTGCAGCGCCTGGTGCCTGGCTAGCTAGAGGCCTCTAGAGCCCTAGCCGATGACGGGGACCTTGGAGACAAGGTTGTTGTTGTCGATGAAGACGCGGACGCGCAAGGGGTTGTAGTCCGGGATGACCGGCGCCCCCGGCGGAAGCACCTCCACGGCCACGTCCGGCCTGTCGTGGGCGATCGCCGTCGCCGCCAGCGTCGCATTCACGCCCACCAGCTCCGGCCATGACGATTTCCCGGGGATCGGCACGCTCATCTTGTCCGGTGTCGTCGGCCGCTCGCGGTTATATTCGCTAGCTAGCTCTTAGTGTGAGTCTGAGATACTCAGATACCGCCTCTACGACACGTATATATATATACGGCCGATCAGGGAGGGCGCCACGTCATTGATGACTAAAAGTTAACGCTTCTTAATATTGGCGCGCCGTCACAGGTATAAAAAAACTGAAAGTAAAAGTAGGAATGCGTATGCCTCGTTTTATCAGAAATAAGTTTTTGTTTTGTTTGTTTGCATGCAGCCAAGGTTTGATTGACATATGATCTGATACGAATAGTAGCTAGAATATTATTCTTAGGATACTATCGTCCTACTCATAAACAAGAGTTGCTATATTTTAGGTGATTAAAATTTTAGAAATTTTCAGGCAACAATTTTTTACACAATCAACTAGTACAGTTAAAACAAAAAAAACTTATGAAAGATAATTCATAATTTCTTTGATATTGCCAAACAATATAAAAAATTGCACGTTGTCCAAACAACAAAAAATCAAGCACTTGAGATATAGGAGAAGTGGAGTTTTATAGTCTCATGCGTCAATAAAACTATCTCTGGCCTGGAACGGAATCCTATGTTAAAAAGTTTCATGACATCTTTAGATTGATATAAATAACTTCAAATTATTTTGTAGCGGAAATGTTAGTTCAAACTGTCCACTTAAAATTAGAAAAAAAACAAATAAATTAATACGAATCAATTAACATGCTTCGATCTTTGTAAGATATTACTTAACCTTAATCATGCAAATATTTTGTTGAGAAACATATAGAATCTCGATATATGAGTTAATTCTACGTTCCGATCGATGCTGTTAATTTGCCAAATACTCCTAAAGATGATTCTACCTAGGACCACAACGTTTACAACTACTAAGCAGCCGACAAGACAACGATGTACAAGGTATGTGATGTGGAGTGCACGTACATAATTTCTATTTTTGCTTTCGTTGTCTGATGTTAAATTGGCACTAATATTAGGATCTGAGCCGGCCCATGCGTCCATCCTCGATCTGACACGTATGACGATACGCTTTGGTGTTGTCATGCATGCTTGGCGAGTACTGTCTTGGACCGGTCGTCATATATATATATATATATATATATATATATATATATATATATATATATATATATATATATATATATATATATATATATATATATATATATATATATATATATATATATATATATATATATATATATATAGAGAGAGAGAGAGAGAGAGAGAGAGAGAGAGAGAGAGAGAGAGAGAGAGAGAGAGAGAGACACACACACGACGAGTAAGTTGAGATAGGATCAAGAAGCACACGGAGATAGCCATGGTGGCAGAGGGTGCCCAATCCATATCAAGTTCCGGTCCACCTCAGACTGTATGAGCAACTCATACTAAAACCAACACCCAGATTGCATACAGACTCTAGGGAGATAAGTTTTCCGATAGAAACAGTTCCAAGGCAAATCCTTACTAGTCAATGGCAATCCTCGTTGAAACAAGTGTATGTACATGATCTATCAGGGTGTTGCATCACCTTCTTTTGGATTGTTGGGTCATTTATAGCGTCGAAGTCCATTATGGACACATCCAGTGGTCCTTATCCACTCCTAATACAATATATTTTGCTTAGATTATTAATCTGTAATCAAAGAGTTCCACCATATATAGGTTTGCAAGACCCCGACTTGTGAGGCTAATCACTTTTTGTGAATTGAGTTGTGTCTTTCTTGTTTTTTCTTGTGATTCACATGCAGTGATTAGCCTTCATGACGAGAGGTCAACAAAGGAATGCATGGTTGATAGCCAGAAGAGATGTGATGATGCGATTGTGAGGTCTAGGTCTTTGTGATAGGAAGCCAGATCGTGAGTATGAAGGTTTCCACCAAATCCAGAGTTATTACCTCCACCAAACAGATTATTGGGCATAACAAATAAAACTAAACTCAGTATATCAAACATTACAAAGATCTACTGTAAAGGCTACTACTAACATGTAGGTCTCAATTCACTACTACATAAAAACTTTCACATAGCGTTTGGCAAAGGGGCTCGTAGGCGGGCGGGCTGGTTGCCCGCCTCCGCTATTCGGTGGCCGGGCAGGCAGCCCAGCAACCGCCTCAGTTAATGATTCACGGAGGCGGGAAACCTAAAGCGTCCATCGGCAGACATCCTAACGCAACCGCCTCGGTAAATCATTACTCGAGGCGGGCATTCTAACGCTACTGCCTCGGTAAATCAGGCTCAGCCCACTAGTCCACACTAGTCCACTACCATCTCCATTATATAAACGAAACCAGAAACCCTAAACACTCCACTCTCCCTCTCCTTTCTCTCCTCTCTTTCCCGCGGCACCGGGCCCTACTCTCTCTGCGGCAAACTCGGCACCTCTCCCATCCCTCGCGACCTCCATCTCCCTCCGAGACCGAGCCTAAGCAGTGCCCCACCTGGCTCCTCGCAACCTCCCTCTCCCTCTCCCTACTCCATCTCTCGATGGCGCGCTCTAGCAGCAGGGGGTCGCGCACACCGGCGTGGATGCCGCACACCCCGGCGGCATGCTCCGCGAACTCCGACGGCGGATGAGGCAGTACAATGCAGGTTGAGGCGGATCGAGGCGTATGCGACAGCGTGCGGCCCGATCCGGCGGCGTGCGGCCCGATCCCTCCTTCCTCGGCCAGATCCGGTTGGGGGCGGTGGCGCTCCCCTCCTTCCTTGGCCAGATCCGGCGCGCGCTCCTTCTCACCGCCAGAGCACCTCCACCACCGCGGATGCGCGCGCCTTACCGCCACGAAGCGGTGCATCCAGCGCGGCGGTGCTCCTGCCCCTCTCCGAGTGTGGCGGCCTCTCCAGCGACGGATCCGCGATGGATCGGGCTCCACGTGCGCGGCGGCGGCACGGCGGGTGCAACAGGAATGGGCTCGATGCTGGGCCCTAGATAGGCTCGCGTTTGGGCTTGTCATTTTTTTATTTTTTTTATTTTTATTAATCGAGGCGGGCAACTGGTCCGCCTTGGTAAATCATTGATTTACCCCTTTAGGTCGAGGCGGACGGGGTGCCTGCCTCGGTAAACCCTTTTTTCCCGCCTCGGTTAAGTTTATCGTAGTAGTGTTTCTACGATTGCGTAGGCACAAAAACCACGTAAAATGAAGCTACAATTCAAAAGGTATGTGGGACTTTAAAGTTTTAGAAAAATTTATGTAAAAAGTTGCCGTTTTAAGAATTATTATAAATAATAAAAACATATTAGTGACATCGCTAGTTGAATTGATGAGATCATTAATATTATTTTGTAATAAAAATAAAAGCAAATGTATAACCTGCGACTTTCACTCTAACGGGCACTGCAGCCTTCCATCTTCAAACCGGTGATGAAAATTCTTATCGGCGCCGGTTTATAAGTGCATTGCTCATTGGGCAACTAACAGGCGGTGCTAAATGTTATCACCACCGGTTCAGCGTACGATACGGCGGCGAAGATGACACTGTTTTCACCGCCGGATCATGGGTCGAACCAGCAGTGAAAACATTCATCACTGCCGGTAAGTCACCTTCTGCGTCCCCTCAGCCTATGAACCCGAGGTGAAATGTATCGCCATCGGTTCTCACATAACTGACGGTGAAAGTCACTGCGATGATCATCATCCTTTCTGTAGTAGGTATATATAGGTGGAGATTTGTTACCTAATGGTAACACCGGTAGTTTGTTCTTCAAAAGTTCAAATTCCCACATGTAGGAAGGAGTAGCACAGTAGTTGATGACTTGCCTGCAATCACATGTACACATGCATGTCCTAGACGAAAGCGAGGACATACAACAGGCAAACAGCAGCGGGATATTTATTCCATTACACACCACACACACAGGTCGACCGCGCCACCGTGTGATGACTGACGAGCGGCAGACGACGACGACACACACACATCTCGACTCCAAACAAAACCAGCAGCGGCTGGCCGGCGGCGGCGCTAGCTACAGCTAGCCGATGACGGGGGACCTGGTTGACAATGCCGTTGCTGTCTATGAAGACGCGGACGCGCGTGGGGTTGTAGTTCGGGTCCTCCGGCGGGATGATCGGCGACCCCGGCGGGAGCACCTCGACGGACACGTCCGGCCTGTCGTGGGCGATCGCCGTCGCCGCCAGCGTCGCCAGCACGCCCACCAGCTCCGGCCACGACGACCTCCCGGGGATCGGCACGCTCATCTTGCCCGGCCCACTAGCACGCGATAGCTTAGCTCAGTGTGCGATGAGATATTTTGTAGATACTCAGATACCGTACCTTTACGAAGACACGTGTGTGTATTTATATAGTACTAGCACGAGAGCTCCACGCCTTCACTGACGATAATATGAAGGTTCTGCTAAAAATAGTTAGAGCTGCTAATATAAATTTAGCGCCCGGTCATAGCTAGGCGAATGCGTATGCCTCGTTTTTTTTTTTTTATGAAACTGGAGGTGCCGAAGCCCCTGCAGGGATTTATTTGAAATAAAAAGAGAAGAGTTCTCAAATAGGAATTACAACGAGGTTAAGCCTGAACCTAAGCTAAGAAATTAGGAAACAAAGAAAATGAGCTTAGCTCTAACTATTACAGCAGGTTTTGAATCCATTGTTCCAACTGAAAGTTCAGACTTAACTTCACTCTATGCAAGAGCAAGAGGATTTCTTTGTGAAAAAGGCTTCTGGCATTGTTTACTGACGGCTGGATCCCTCTGAAGATTAGGTCGTTTCTTGCCGTCCAAATGGCCCAACAGATTAGGATCACAGCTGCCATAAAAAACTGAGAATGCAGTTTCAGTGATCTCTGGAAAGTTCTCATTCTGAGGAATGTCAATGTTTATCAGTCTCCAGCATTAATTGCTTTATGAATGGGCACTGAAGCAAGAGATGTTGACAGAGGTTTCTTCAGTGTTTTGAAGGCACAAAACACAATTGTAGGACTCTAGGTGCATGTTCTTTCTTTTAGAATATTCCTTGTACTCAATCTGTCCTTGATTAAAAGCCAAAAGAATACCTTATGCTTAGGTTGGCAAAGACATTCCCACAACCATCGAAATACATTATTAACTTAGTGATGCCCCATTAGAGCCCTGTATGCTCTTGAAGAGCTGAAATTTTTCTCCCATATATACCTCCAGATATCCTTGTCTTCTGTTATTGTCAGACTTCCCAAGATTTGTAGCAGTTGCTGCATTTGCTCAAAAGCTTCTTCTGAGATTGGTAGATGAAGTAGTTGGATGAAATCTCCCTGCTCCCTGACCTTCTGTACTGTAATGAGCTTGTTTTTTGCAAAGGAATATAGTTCTAGAGCCAATGATTTTAGCTCTTGCCCATTCCAGTTATCCTGCCAGAAAAGAATACTGCTGCCACATTGTAATTGGACCCTTGTCATTTCTTTGAAATGAGGGAGATATTTCAAGATATCCCTCCACCAAAAAGATCCTTTCTTTGTGTGACCTAGTAGTTTCCCATTCCTATAATATTTCTCCCAAATCAGCTGTACCCAAGGAATATCCTTCTTGTTGAAAAACTTGTTTAGGTTCTTTAACAGCAGGGCTTCATTTTGTTTCTCAATGTCAATGACTCCTAGACCTTCTTCTTCCTTGGTTTTACAAACCATCTTCCATGCTGCTTTTCGTGGTTTACTGGCAGTGTTTTCTGAAGCTGTCAATTCTTTTAATCACAGTTTTGGGTAAAGCAAGTGTACACATGAAGAAGGTTGGGAGGGATGTGAATACTGCATTTGTCAATTCCAATCTTCCAGCCTGGGAGAGAAAGCTTGATACACTTCCTAGTCTTTTTCACACTTACTTATTAAGGGTAGGTATTCTTGAATTCTTGGTTTGGTCAACCCCATGGGAAGGCCAAGATAAGTGAATGGGAATGACCCCTTAGAGCAGCCAAAGGTCTTGGCTAGCAGATCAAATCTTTCTTCATTGATGTTTATTGGCAGCATCATTGATTTTCTGAGGTTTACTCTTAATCCTGTGGCTTCAGAGAAGGTGTTGAGCACTGATTTGAGGAAGAATAACTACCTTGTATCCCCTTCTAGCACAAGCAGTGTATCATCAGCATACTATATCACTGGGAAGTCTTGATTTGACTCTATAGGTATAGGTAACCTTAACATTCCCAACTCTTTACCCTTATTGACCAGATATTGTCGGAAGTCAGCAGCTAGTACAAACAGCAAGGGTGATAAAGGATCACCTTGCCTCACACCTCTCAAACAGTTGAACCTTTTCCCTGGGGTTCCATTTAGAAGAACAGTTGAAATGGCTGAAGAAAATATTGACTGCATCCATTCCAACCATTTATTCCCAAAGCCTTTTTCTTTCATGATTGTCAGCATAGCCTCATGTTCCATTTTATCAAATGCCTTTTCAAAATCCAGTTTGATAACAACAATTTCCTTCTTTGAATGGTGGCACATGTGCAAGTATTCCAGTGACCATGCAAGGCAATCTTGAATAGTCCTTCCACTGATGAACCCATATTGGTTTCTGTGCACCAGCTTTGTAATCATTGGCCTGTTTGCCAACAACTTGGTTATCAATTTTACTGATGAATTTAACAAGGAAATTGGCCTATAATCATTAACTGTTCTAGGCCCTTCCACTTTAGGGATGAGTGTAATGTATGAAGAATTAATGTTTCTGAGGTAGACATTGTTGCTGTGGAACTCTCTGCATAATCTGTAGAAATCCTCCTTTATAGTTGGCCAGCATTTTTTTTAAGAACTCATTGCTAAAGCCATCTGGGCCAGATGATTTATCGTTTGGCAGTTCCTTAATTACTCTGTCAATTTCAATGTTTGAGAAGGGCTCTTCAAGATAGCTGAGGTCATCTCTTCTCTGTAAGATGCTTGATGGATTAATGCCAAACCTCGTGAAATCAGTTCTTCCTTCATCAGGAACCTTTTGTTTGCTCTATGCATGCATGCATATTAGTGGTTTTAGATCACAATCATGTATCCTAAGTTTTAGTACGAATGCGTATGCCTCGTATGCATGCATTTGTGGAAAAATCATATCCGATACAGACGATTCTATATAGGATCAAAATATTTACAAATAATACAACTATGCAGCCAAAGAAGAGAACGACGATGTACAGAGTGCAAATGTCGGAGTGTGGTAGGTATATCATTCTATATAGGATCAAAATTTACTTTTATTTCTATTTTTACCCTCGTCGTCCATGATGTTACACTGACAGTGAAACTAGGATGCAAGAGAGTAAGTAAGGTGACTGTGTCATGTGTGACTGTTGGAGAAAGATAGAGAGGATATTAGGCCGGCTACGCGCATTTATCATTAATATAGGAGGAGCCGATGGGCCCATACTGCTGCGAGCGGCCTCCACCCAAGCCTCTTCCGGCCCAGGAGAGCGAGTGCTCTGCTGCCTAAGACTTGCTCACAGCCCTATCTCTATCTGCAAATTACTTAGGATTTTTTATCCTACTCCCTCCCTCCCAGAAAAAATAATGTTATATGATTTGAAATTTGTCCAAAAAATGATGTTATGAATTTTAGACATGGTGTTGGCCCACAAAAGAATCTGTCGACTCATGCATACCCAACAGATCCGGCGCCAAATTACCAATTGACATGTGCTACTGTTTGTTGCCTCCCGCAGATCTCTGCATGCTTGCATGCAACACGTCTTAATTAGAAAGTACACCACATGATATCCCTTCTTTTAAGGAAATCATGTGTAACAAACTAAGGGTATTAGAGACATTTCTCTTCTCCACTAGTCTGTCCAAAAATCTCAGAACATCACTCTTTTTGGGACGGAGAGAGTATGATCTAAAGTTTAGTTGAGTAATGTTGAGGACTAAAACTTAAGACCACTTTAACTCACATATACGATCTAAATTTTTTGTGAGGTTGGCTAAACTTTAGACGACAATTTAAACTGGAGCCTCGAGAGCTAAAGTGATATAAATTTACAATAATGATTAGAATAGGGCACCCAGCCTCCCCGTTCGCCTAGACGCACCCGTTGACCCACTCCTTATCCACCACACTATCAAACATCAGCGTTCGACTCCACTGCGACGCCCGCCCACTGATCACCTTCTCTAGCGCAGGGTCGCTCGCCGTAGGTAGCGCAAGAGCTCGTCACGGGCAGCACTGCCACCTCCACCGCAAGGGCGCCTCACCATAGTCCTGCAGACAGCGCATGCGCTCGCCACAAGCAGGCGGCGCTGCCACCTCCACCACAGGGGCGCCCCGCCGCGGTCCCCGCAAACAGAGCATGCGCTCGCCGTGGGCAATGCTCGCCGCGGGGCACCACACACCCTGTCTCTAGAGTCGAGCAGCCACACGCCGGGACCACGCAGCTGCCCGCCCGCTGGCTTCCCCCTCGCCACTCCACGGCAACGAGCTCCGTGCAGGCATTGAGCTCCATGTCGACTCCATTTCTCGTCCAAGGAGCAAGTAGTTTTTGCTCTTGAAAGCGTATGTATGTATAAGCCGTACATGCATGTCTGGTGTTCACGTATGCATGTATATCTCTAATCTTCTAGCTTTCCTTTCCTCCCTTGCACGTAGATGATATACCTTATGTAGCCTGGCCAAATAATATTAAAATATATTTTCTTTCATATCTCCTTCTTGCTTCCTTTTTCATCTGGCCAGCTAATCACGAACTCAGCCAAAACCAACGTGACCATACCCCTCTCGGAGCCTTCCTCATTTTGATCAACTTTGCTTACACACGCAGGCCTTCCCTTTCTTCTACAAATCTATTTTATTTGGCTATGCATCGGCCAAACAATTTGTAGTCCTAGTAACGCGTACGTACACATATGCTTCCTCTTGTTGAGCTTCTCTCGCGCGGTTGGCTTGCATCTTCACCACGCTGGCAGCCAGGAGCCAGGAGCCAATCAGATTCCTTTCCTTGCATGCACGGACTCCAGCACGTAGCTAGCTGCAACACAAAAGCACGAATATATTGCACGACCCCTTTTCCTGATTGACCAACCCAATGAAGCCAATCTTTGCATTCGAACTCTTGGACTCCATGCATGCCTTGCACGAGTATTGAAATCTTGACAAAGTCACTGTCTATATGCATACTCGATTCTCATCGTTGCATGTGATTCCAGTAGATATATACCAGCAGCCGACTGCCCCTTACTCTGATAAATCGGCCAAAATCCGGTGTCAACAATTTTAATTCATTTTGTCGAGGAAAA